TCTTTTCGTGACGGAGGGACGCCGGACGCGCTGAAACGCGCATGCGTCAAAGTAACGCCGCGCGACGCGCGCCTGCGAGTATATCGGAGGACTGGCGCCTGGCGTGGCAACGCCGGCGTGACGCGAAAATGAACGCCGGCGGGCACGCGCGCCACGTCACGTCGAAATGTATTGGTGCCTTGACTGTTGATTGTAGTCATGTTCTCACATGACACGCATCTCATGATTATCATGTTTGCACAAGTCACATACCTTCGTCATCCATTGACGTCACGTAATACCAAATTTGGCATATGTGAAGCTAGCGAAACGGCCGCGAGCGCTTCATAAGCGTGGCATGAAGTCATGTTGTTACATGACACGCATCTCATGGTTATCATGTTTGAATCAGTCGCATACCTTCGTCTTCCATTCACGTACCGCAAAACCAAATTTGGTATGTGTGACGCTGAACGAAACGGCCGCGAGCGCATCATGAGTGTGGCATGTAGTCATGTTGTTACATGACACGCATGTCATGATTTTCATGTTAGGGTCTGTCGCTTGTGTTTGCCATGCAATCATGCCGTGCCATATCGGTTTTGCAACATGTCATGTGAACGAAACCACCGCAGGAGCTGCAGGACCACCTAATAGTAATCCTCATTTCGATGCAATGCAGCGTTTACATTTAACGATACGTTTATCCATTCACAGGCCTGTGTCCTCAGTCGCAATAGTTCTGCCGAGCGCCACTACGAGTTGTAGAAGTCAGCACCGATGTTTGCAAGGTTAGGGCGCCCCTTTAAAAAAAATGAATGAGTAGATTTAAGAGAAAGCCAAGTTATAAATTAGGAAGAAAAATAAAAGTCTATAGTAATACAGCCGAGGTATCAGTAAAGTTATTGCAGGTAGTGATGCTTAAGGTCACTTGCAAACGCCGCGAGTAAAGCACCAGGTTTAACAGCTTAAAGGGGTGGTGACACCAAATTTCGAGGCTATCCCAAGCCTGCCGTGGATTTCCTCTGTATGCAAGGACTCTCCAAAATCCTCTGTTGAATAAAGTTTTTCTCCTCCTCCTCCACACGAGGAGTCAGACACAACAAACGCGTAGAATATATTTTGATTCATTTCTAAAAGTGTAGCTGAATGCCCACTCTCGCGATCTAGGCAAATCGCTTGCGCAGCAACACTGACGTTTCAGAATAGGAGAAGCAACACATTTCTGAAACACCGAGAGACACCACGCAATGCTTACACAACGAGTCTGCGCCCGCGGAATGCCTGCTGCTGGGAAGTTTATAATTGACAATTTATTACTTTACGTGAAAACAGCACGGTTGTTAGGAGATCAGCTTGCTATTCTGGGCCTTAATATTTGTAGCACATGTACACTTAGTTCCGCCAATATAGACAAATCAGGAAAATAAATAAATAAATAAATAAATAAATAAATAAATAAAGTGACTAAATAATTTAACAAATAAAGTACAAACGATAAAGCAAACGAAACGAAATAAACGGCTGCGTTCATGCGGATGTAGCAGGGCACTATGAACTTTAGTAGTTCTGAACTTTAGTAGTTCCCTATACCAGGAAACGTTGACTCAGTAGTTCACACCTCACAGGAACTACAGGAATCATTGAATCAGTTGGCTAAAGAATTAGAAAGCAGGTTCTCAACGCATTTCCCTAATTCGGCTTACACAACAACCATCTATGACTACACAGAAATATCGACTTCCGAATTAAATCAGGCTATGGAAAGATTGCCAAATGCAGCTCCAGGCCCCGATGAAATAACAAATACAATGCTAAAATTACTTCACAGGGAATATCCGAATGATCTATTAGGTCTCGTCAATTATTCCCTTAGAAGATCATGGATCCCTTCTGAATGGAAGATCGCGAAAATTATACCATTGCTTAAGAAACAGGGGGCAGGCTATAATTTAGACAACATACGACCGATAGCCTTAACATCAAATGTAGTAAAACTTATTGAAAGGGTACTTCATGGTCGCATAATTAGGTTTATTAACGAGAAACAACTGTTGAGTTCTTCCCAAATTGGCTTTAGATCTGGATATTCCATATGGCATGCACATGTAGATCTGGAAAGTCGTATTCATATTGCCCGTCACAAAAAGCACTTTGTGGCTTTAGTAACGTTAGACATATGTAAAGCATACAATAGTGTAGAGTATTCTATCTTGAGTAATCAGTTATGGAGTCATGGACTTCCACCTTATATAGTAGCATGGGTGACGGAGTTTTTAAGTAGAAGAGAATTCTATTGTTATCAAGGCGGTTTCTCTTCCTGTAAGCACAAGCAAACCCGAGGTGTACCTCAGGGGTCAGTACTTTCCCCGGTTTTATTCAACATATTGCTTAGTACCTTCCCCGTTCATCCAGATGTGAAAACCTATGTTTATGCCGATGACATTGCTTTCTTTGCTATATGGCACATGACTTCCAGTGTCTCTACACTATCTTGCAAGCATATCTTAATGAAATAGAACATTGGCTGGATGGATTGATGTTGAACCTGAATACCGGTAAATATGCTATTCTCGTTTTTCCTATCAAAGATCCCGTGCACATATCTATTAATTACAAGCTTCAAGATATCCCACAAGTACAATCATTGAAATATCTTGGAGTTATGTATAATGAACATCTAAATTGGCGCCCTCACATTGAATACATCGCGACAAAAGCAGTACGCGCGATGGGCGTATTGCGGAGGTTGAGCAATTGTAGATCAAGTATGAGAAGAAAGGCACTTTTGATTATATATAATATGTATGTCCGACCTGTGTTGGAGTTTGGCTGCATTCTTTTTTCTGGTGCGCCAGCCTACAAACTTCGGCCGCTCATTCTGTTGGAAAGAGAGGCTTTACGGCTCTGCTTAGGACTTCCAAAGTATACTACAAATGCAGTGTTATACCTTGAAGCACGAATACCAACCTTATTATGTCGCTTTAACATTCTTACTGTGCAGACCTTTTTACGACTATATGAAGCACCGTTTAACCCTGAACAAATTATTTTTATTTCCAATCCTGACCTATTCTTCTCCGTGCATTGGCCCAGATTTCACAAACCACAAATAGTATTTGTTCAATCGTTACTTGAGCCTCTAAATGTACACGTTCGTGATCTGATTCCTTTAACTGAGCAACAAAATTCTCCAGAAATTGTTTACCATAATATCCTCCCAACTCACGCTAAGCTATTACCTACAGGCATTTTAAATGGTTTATTGCAGGACCATTTAAGTACTCTGCCAACAAATGTCATTATAGCAACGGATGCATCTCAATCACATGAAAAATCAGGCGTTGGAATATACTGCCCCGTACTTGATTGGTCATTTTCACTTCGCTTACCGAATTTTCTTCCTGTCTTTCTGGCTGAATTCATGGCAATAATGTTAGCTTTGCGAAAGGTAAATATTTCCATTCCAGTCGTAGCAGTCATAACTGATTCATTATCAGTGTGCTCTTCTCTGTCCGCATCTGGTCACTCACCTATAGTGAAACTTTTTAAATCATTGATTCCCTGTCATCTCCAAAGTATTCATTTCATCTGGACACCAGGGCACAAAGGTTTGTTGTTAAACGAAACAGCTGATTCTCTTGCGAAGGCATCCCTTTCGACACCAATTATTCCTATTTTCCCTCATACAGTATAAATTATGGTGGCGCGATTTCGCACACTTAAAATCAGGCAAAATTTATCTGACCCTGCACTGACGGCTTCTCCAGAGTACAAACACTTGTTAATTCCCTGGCGCAGTGAACTGACTAATTCAAGGATGATGGAAGTTGTCATCACGAAATTTCGTTGCCGCGTTACCTCCCTCAATTCGTACTTGCATAGATCAGGCATATTGAATTCCCCTATGTGCATTTACTGTAATCAAGAGGAAACGATCAGTCATTTTTTATTACATTGTCGCCGTTTTGATTTATTCAGGCAAAGCATACTAGCACCACATCTTCAAAGACTGGGCTTGCAACTATCACAACCTGATCTTCTTTCATTTGGAGCCTCTACACTGGGTTTCAGCCACAGGGATGTTTTATTCGCTGTTCAAGAATACATCACTGCGACTAAACGATTTTCTTGCTAAATTACTGTCTCACTATTTTTCTTCTTATTTTTTTTTCTGCAAACTTGATATCGATATTTCAAATCAAAATTAAGTTACAAAAAATTTGTAAAAATGACGCATTGCTTAAAGTTTAGGGCAAATTCACCTTATAATCGCCCAATCCCCTTCTTTGAGTACGAGCCATTTGCACAGGGAAACAACAACAACAACGTACAAAAATGCCGCATAACTACATCCCAACGCAGCTACGCGGGAAATAACTGTAGTTGTCGATTTATGAGAAAAATATGACGGATGTATGTGCTGGAGATCTTTCACGTGAAAGGTGTAGGCGTTACACAAAAACTATGTAAATACTTGTCCGATCACCTTTATACTACCCACTTTCTTTTCTTCTTTTAAGTTTTAACGCAACGTGAGTGCTTCGTTCGGTTGCATGTCAATGTGGTCCTGCGTACTCGGCATCCTAATCTGTGCAAACTCGTTCAATTCTAGTGCCACAATTTCTCAGCTTTCTAATAGAGCCGTCCGCGCAATATCAGCGCGGTTTGTTGTACCTTACGCACTTAGCTAGCTCTTTCACGCATAAAGAAATCATATTTCCCGCGCTTTACACAGCCGACGCATCGGCAAAACCCAGCGAAATTATTCGCGGAGCACAGCTGGTTTGTGGTGAGCATAGACGAGCACCGTTGCACTGTTTTGTTCAATACTCTGAGTTAAATGAGGGCACTGCCACGTAATTCGAAGCGCATCTGCTTCTCATAGAGCATGGCAGCGGTTACAGAGCCTAATATAACGCCAAAGATCGGAATTGGCTCGAGACTACATTCCGAAGCGGACGCTGCCTCTGTGCTGTGCATGGCCGCCCGCGGACGGATACAGCCACGGTGCGAAAAACTTGTAAACACTGTTTTCCCGTTGGGAACGTGTTGCTCAGCCGTACGGTATTTACTGGCGGCTTTGCTATGATCGCCTGGTTGCGCTGTGCCTCGCGGGATGTAGAGTGATTTTTCACATCGCTATTTCATCCTGCCAAGATGTAGTGTGCGCAGAAAAAAGAAAGATCTTCTGGTGTGCTTCGAGGTACCTGCCGAGTTTTGACTTGTAGGCCTAATTTTCACCGAGGGAAATGGTGCTCATCCAGCTGAAGTTCCCTGCCGCTGACTGTTTGGTCAACATGAGAGAGCACTGAGGGGCTCTGGTCTGCCCACAATGTCCGGCAAGATCGCTTCGAGGTAAGCGGTGGTTATTCTTAACTCCCGTCGTAATCGACGCCCGATATCCGCAGAACTAGACGGCCATGTTCAGACGTCGCTTAGGCCTAGGTGTATCTTTTTCTCGCCTTTTTTCGAGGTTGTGATCGCACTACAGTTAGTTTAAAACAATCAGGAAGGTCTGTCGAAGACCTGCGAGGACAGCCACGTTCGGGGCTGGCGCCGCCAGGTCACAGGGCCGCGGTGCCGACTGCGAAGTCGTGCGAACCCGACGAGCGAGACCTTGGCAGGCGGCACTACGTGTTTCGCGAACGCACAGCAGTAGCTACTCGAAAGCGCCTTACTATCTGCGATCTTCACCGAACTTCACGAGTTCTGTCCAGCGGCTGACATCGTTGCCGGTCCGGCATTACTCACCGAGTAGTCGCGTAGGTCGAACCACCGACTGCACAGCAGCGACAGGACATTCAAGATGGAGCTTTAAAAGGACTCGTTTTTGTTGCGCTCGCTAACAGATTTATCTCTCGTTGACAGTGTACTGTCTCGCACCTTCGCCTTGCTCGACGCCTAGGAGCTGCTGCTGACAGCATTGAAAGGCTGGTGCATTTTAATCTAGAAGCTTCGTTTTGTATCTACGTATGCAAGTGAAACCTGTGATCGCGGCTCACGACTTCGATTTGCATGTTGTGAACTACAGTGCACGTAACAAGCTATGCAGTTCGTTATCGCACGAGTTACCGATGTGGGGTCAGTATATTGAAGCGCTTTACGATACGAAGAAACATTCGCAAGCGTCGAAAACGGGGAGGAAAAAAAAAAGAAAAAGCGTGCGAGCTGTGCTATTTGAAACCGGTCCAAATTCTCGTCGCAACGAGAGTCTGAGACGACCGGGCTTCTCGTTTTCGACGTCTCTCATCTCTAGTAAGCAAGTACTGTCCAAAAAGCACGGACACATTGGCGAATGCCTCGTAAGCCCGGCTTGGCTGGACGGGCAGCGGGGTGCTGCCCGAGGCTTTCGCAAACGAGGCCTGCGGTCACGGCGTAGTACGCCGCCGCATCGCCACTTGCCGATCTCGCGGTTTCTGTGGGTGCAGCTTTGCTGAGCATCACTGTGTTTGGTGTCTGCGGATTTGAGTTTCTAGAAATCGTACGTCGTAGCCAGCGGGAAGGCTTGGTGGTGGCGGCGGTGGCGGAGAACGCGGGGGAGAAAAAAAAAAAAAGAATCTAGGCAGTGACCTAAATCTCGTCTCAACCGGTGTGTGGCCATGCTGAAACGACTGCTGTGCGTTTGGTAGAAGAGTGTGCGTTATTGGCCTGCATCGAGACGCCTTGCCATCTTGGACTGCTGGTCCGAAATCCATTGATCCAACAACGTCGATGGTATTCATATCCTGCGAAGAAGTGGACGTCGCTGTGTGTGCCAACTGTGCGGTGCTCCGGTGTGCTTTACCTCATCTGAGGCTGGTGTAATGCCATTGGTGCAAGCATGTGTGTGTGTGTTCTGTGGTTAACCAGCTGTTCTGCTTGGATTGATCATATGCGGTCGCCCTCTATACACAAAACATTGATTTGTTGGTGCTTTGTTTATCTGTCAGCTGTAGTTGCACTCTGCTTTGATATCATCATCAGCCTGACCACGTCACTGCAGGACAAAGGCTTCTCCCACAATCTGCCAGTAGACTCGCTCCTGTGCTTGCTTCTGCCACTTTATACCCGCAAACTTCCTAATCTCATCTACAAACCTAACTTTCTGACTCCCCATCACCCGCTTGCTTTCTCTTAGAATCCAATTTGTGATCCTTAACGAGCAGTAGTTATCGTGCCTTCACACTATATGCCCAGCCCATGACCATTTCTTCTCGATTTTGACTATGTCTTTAATATCTGTTTAAACCCTGCCCCACTCTGCTCTGTTCTTGTCTTTTAGGGTTGCACCTGTCATTTTCCTTTCCATTGTTCGCTGCGTCGTCCTCAACATAAGTTAAACCCTCTTTGTAATCTTCCATGTTTCTGCTCCATAGGTAAGTACTGGTGAGGTGCAGCTGTTATATACCTTCCTCTTGAGGGACAGTGACAATCTACCGTTCTTGGTTTGACAGTGCTTCCCGAATTTGCTCCACCCCATTCTTATTCTTCTAGTTTTTTCAGTCTCTTGGTTCGGTGCCGCTGTTACTACCTGTCCTAAGTAGACAGACTTACTCTTTTACAACTTCAAGTGCACTGCTAAGTATTTTGAGGTTCTGTTCTATTCCGAGGTTGCTGTACACTACTTTTGCTTTCTGCAGATTAATTTTAAGACCACCTTTTGGCTCTTCTTGTCTAATTCAGTAATCATGAATTGCACTTCGTCTCCTGGGTTACTCATCAATGTGATCTCATCGGCGAAGCGGAGTTTACTAAGGTACTCTACATTAACTCTTATTCTTAACTCTTTGCATTCTAGGTCTCTAAAGACCTCCTGTAAGCATGCAGTAAATAGCATGGGGATATCGTGTCCCCTTGTCTTACACCCTTCTTTATTGGTATTCTGTAGCTTTCTTTATGGAGCACTATGGTGGCAGTTGATCCGCTGTAGATTTTTTCCAGGATATTTATATATGCTTCTTCGACAGCCTGATTCCGCAGTGTTTCCATGAATGCTGAAATCTCTGCTGAATCACATGCCTTCTCATAATCTATGAAGGCTATGCATCGTGGTTGGTGGTATTCTGAGCATTACCTGATTGATAGTATGAACATGGCCGATAGTTAAGCAGCCTGTACGAAATCCTGCTTATTCTTTTGGCTGAGTGAATTCTAATGTTGTGTTAATTTTGTTAGCAATTACCTTTCTCAATAGCTTGAATATGACAAAGAGCAAGCTGATCGGCCTATAATTCTTCAAGTCCTTATCCCATTTCTTATGGATTACGATAACGGTAGCACTTTTCCGCAATTCTGGTACCCTCCCTATTAGGATACACATTGCAAACAGGGTGGCCAGTTTTTCTAACACAATCTGTCCTCCGTCTTTCAGCAGATCTGATGTTACCCGATCGTCAGCAGCAACTTTGCTGCTTTGCATTCCCTCTAAAGCTTTCTCGACTTCTTTGGTCATTACTGGTGGGATGTCATCATGGCTACTCCTAGTTGTTATGTTATGGTCATGGTTGTCCCGGCTACTGTAAAGGTCTCTGTAAAACTCTTCCACTACATTAACTGTCCTATCCAAATTGGTAGTTACTTAGCCTTCCTTGTCCCTTAGTGCATACATCTGGTTTTTGCCTTTCCCAAGTTTCTTTGTCACCGCTTTGACGCTTCCTCCGTTCCTTAGAGCATGTTCAATTCTCTCCATGTTATACCTTCTTACATCATATACCTTACGCTTACTAATTAACTTCGAAAGCTCTGCCAGTTCTGTTTTGTCTGTTGTGTTTTACACTTTCATGCTTTGACATTTCTTAATTAGGCTATTCGCCTCCTCGGACAGCTTGCCAGTGTCCTGTATACTTACCATACCTCCAACTTCCAGTGCACACTCCGTAATGATACTCATCAGATTACCATTCATTGCATCAATTCTAAGGCCGGTTTCCACGATAATGGTGAAGTATTTGTGCTGAAACGATAGTCAGATTGCTGTACTTTCTCTCTCAATGCAAACTCATTGATTGTCTTCTTGCCTATTTGTTTCTGTCGTTTCTTCAAGCCTAGGTGAATTAGAGAGCTTACCATTCTATGGTCACTGCATCGTACCTTGCTAAACACTCCGACATCCTGCACGATGACTGGGTTTGCACCGAGTATATAGTCTATTTCGTTCTTACTGTCGCCATTAGGGCTCCTCCGTCTTCATCTACGGTTCACTCGTTTTCGGTAGAAGATATTCCAAATTGATAAAATTACGTTCTGCGTATTCTACTAATAAATCCCCTCTGGCATCTCTATGCTTTGATATACCGGTGTTTCATACTTTGGCCTGTTATTGAGAGCGGGCTCCCTTCCATTTGATTGTTTGAATACCAATGGATTGTGTCAATGGTGGAGCTTATACTAATTATTCTTGCTTCACCTTGTGCTTGTTGTGTGATCTCTGTTTGGCACATGTTCTGTTAACACTGCAACAACTTAAAATACAAGTAAAGGAAGACATAATGTGAGTGCTTTACTGGGTCGCCTGGTTAGCTTTGGTTTTCCAGATGATGGCACGGTTATTTAAAAATTGTGAGAGGTCGAGTAACTGTCTGCATGTATGGCATCCACTTGTGAGGAAACGGCCTAATCAGGTATTTGCCTTTATTTAGCTCAGTGCAAACACTTTTGCTTTTATGCACTTCTGACAGGCTCCGAGATGCATTTTGTTCTGACATCTGTTAATATTTGACTGAAGTTTCAATATTTTCATTCAGACTAAATTGATTTGACACGGGAGAATGACAATAAAGTCTGTATGTTCTAAAGTAACTATTATACAATTACAGCAAGCTGCTCTAAAAACAACCCATTTATTTGGCGTATTGCTACTGCTTATGACCACTTATTTTATAGACTAAGCTAATTACCCAACATCAACAGCTTCAGTTTAATTACCCAATGTGAACAGCTTCTATTGTTTCTATCCGCAGTTATTAATTTAATTTCTTCTCTTTCTTTTCATTTTTCCAAATTGCTTTTTAGCCACGTACTGGAGAATCTCTCTTGTATTGCTTTGGAAAAGGCATTCCAGTGCTGGCAAGTTAGTGATTCTACAGATTATAAGACCACTTACCCAGATCAAGCGTTATGTGAACGTCTATATTTCAAGGCTTTTTGTGAGGATATTTTGTTATGGGATGGCTGACATGTATACAAGATGTATTTACTGGGGAAAAAGACAGGCAAGAGTTAGCGTAGCTAACGCACTCGCACGCCGGTTGGCTTCTTCCGCCCTTTGTCTTGCTTCACCTATCCATAACAAAACCCTGGGGCGTTGTTACGCTATCCAAGTCTGAAGAGGAAGTGTGAGAGGAGTAGAGTTTCATCTTCGTTACAATATTTTGTAT